GCTCACCAGCTGCTCCTCGGAAGCCCTATACAGGGTAGCTATGGGTCAGAACTGACTTGATGGCACTTAACAACAACACTAAAAACCACTGAACTGTATACTTTAAGTGGGTGAATTTTACAGTATATGAATTACATATCATGAAAGGTTGTTTTAAATGGCTGTGCTTCTTTACTGCAGCATTAAAAGTGAAACCGTCACTTGGGATGAGATGGCTGGTGCTAGTACAACTATCTAACCCACATGGTAACATGTCTGAGAAAGGCAGGCACATACTGGGGCCTTAAGAATTCCCTGCAACTGAACTACCATGCCTGAACTGCTTCCCTCTGAACTTTTATGTGAGAATTAAGTAATATTTTATTTTGCAATCCAGGGGTATTTAAAATTTTCTCACAACCAATCTCCTTCTAATGACTATCCAGTCTAAGGCAAGTAATTCCATTTTCTATGCCTCAGTTGCTTAATCTACAAAATGTTTCCTTGATTGTAGCCCTATTAACAGTGACAGATAGATTAGATAATGCATGTGCTAAATATTTAATTCCTTGGAATTGAAACATACATTCAAGCTAAAGTTTCTTTGGACAATTGATCTTTATGTACATCATTTTTATGTACTTTTTAGCAGTCTTAGAAATAGTCCATTCCCTTTACTTGCTCTTTGTTGTATATACTAAAAGATGTTTTGTTTGCACCAAAAGGTAATTAAAATAAAGATATCTGTTCCTAACAGGTATCATATAGTGTAGAGTGATGCTGAATGTTCCTAGTGTAATTCCCAATCAAATAAGATGACTGTATCTCACTAGATAAAATAGCAGAATCACAATAACGAAGATTACCTGTCTTTTGATTAAAACAAAGCTAAAGACTGATTCACTAAAGGAATCTGAAATGATGCATGCCAAAATGTAAAAAATAGTGGTTATCTTTGATGGGGGAAGAATAGGTGATTTAAAGATTATTTTAGCATATCTACACTTTATAATTTTCTAAAATAAATATGAATTACATGTGCATAACATCCCCAAAAAACTCCACCATTTAAAATGAATGACAAAGATCCAAATATTGTTGTTAAGTGCCATCAAATCAATTCCAACTCATAGTGTTCCTATATAGGGTTTCCAAGGAGCAGGTGGTGGGTTTGAACCACCAACCCTTGCAGTTCAAACCAACCGTACAGTCCAGTGCTTATCCTACAGTACCACACCAGTAATGTTGTTGTTGTTAGGTACCGTCAAGTCAGTACCGACTCATAGCGACCTTATGCACAGCAGACTCTACTAAATATTGCTGTTGTTAAGTGCCATCAAGTCAGTTTCTACTCATAGTGACCCTGAATAGGGTTTCTGGGAAGCAGTTGGTAGGTTTGAACTGCCCTTGTGGTTTGCAGTACACAGCAGAATTAGACTCTACTAAATGAACCACTTCTCTTTGAGGTCTTAAGAGTGATGAACACCTTTTGAATTAAATGGTTTGTACTTAGCAAAGAAAAGAACAAAGAAGCAAACCCTACTGAAGAGTCTTCATGCTAGGTTGATTCTGATAGTAAATGACTTTGCCAAGTAAAAATGACAAATGCAACCTTACATAGTATCTTATAATAAACACATGTAAATTATTTCACAGATCCTTTTAATGAATAGTATTAAATCCTTAAGAAAACAGTTCTTTAACCATTAGCCAAAAATTGCTTTCAAAAGACTTTAAGGCACTGAATAGGTACATACATATCATATCTTCAATACATTAAAATGTTATGAAAAGCATACTGGATGAGAGACATGTAACATAATAAGATTACTTTTATAACCCGAGAATGCATAGTAATTTTACTACACTGAAATCTGAAGTTCTATAGATTATCATAGCAAGAATTTTCAGGAAACTGATGACAGTTTTGAAACAACCACTTGAGTTACATTGAAATCCACATCTAAAATACTTGTTTATCTTCAAGTCCTCCTTTTCTTGGAAGAATGTTTTCAAAAATCAGCCTATTCGAGTATTCCACAAATTTATTTATATACTTTCTCACTTTACAACTTTTTAACTTTCAGGCAAAAAGCTTTAGTGAATGATTCTCATTTTAGAAAATCTTTGAGGACATTCATATTACTACACACTTTCAGTTTCAAAAATGAGGATTATTGCTGATGCCTGGTCTTTCTCTATGAAAACATCTCAATTGGGGTAGATTCTAAGTATTGTTTTGTTGTTAAGTGCCCTAAAAATTGCCAATGTATCTTCTAGCTAAATAAATGTAACAGGAAATTCCACAAAGGAGACTTTCCTATATGAACACATGGAACATTCCCAATAAGAGGTCTATATATAGACACAAATGGGAATCATATTTAGATCATAGTGAGAATTGTAAAATGCTGTATAATAATACAGACCTCTGTGAAACACTTTAGATTCCTGTGCAGATGTTAATAATCATGCTATGTTATTTTCTATATGTGAAAGTTCAATGCTTCCAGCTTGTAAAAGAAAGCTGTGATTTTTGTTTCAATCTAGATAGGGCTCTAATATTGCTGTAAACACTGCTGACAATAAATATTTCTGTTCTATTATGTACCTGTTCATTTCTCAGGGGAAAGGATGAAAAAGAAAGGCTCTTTCTGTCCTCTCTTCCTTACCAATAAAAAGATGGAACTGCTACATGGAAGGCTGGGAGTCAAGTAGAGAAGCATTTAAAAAACACACTGCAAATAGAAGATAAATCTCTACAAGCCAGGCCATCTAGTTGTGTGGATATTTCCCTTTTGCTATAGCTGAGCCATTAATAAAAACATCATTTAAGCATGTCAACCATATCTCAGTTACAGGAGATAAAATAGTATTACATTATGATGAGTTCTGGGCTAAAAGGGAAAAACTGTGGGAGACAAGAAACAAAATTTAGAGGTCTAGCAGCCTATTTTAGTGGAGAATCTTTGCTGCCCACCACAGTGAAGAATGCAGGCTTTATTTTGTTATTGTGGTGTTTTCCCAAAGAAGAGTTTCTGACCACACAGCTAAGAACACTTCAGATGGAAGGTGGCAGGAAGAGGCATTTTGGAAAAGCTGCCCAAGTGACTCTTAGACTGAGGTTTGAGGACTATTGCAAAGCACTGCTTTATAGAACACACTGGTTCTCAAGGTGTGGTTCTGGGGATCTGAGGAGGGTCCCTGAGATACTTTGAGGGGGTCTGTAAGGCCCAAAATATTCATAATCACACCACGAAGTTATCTGCTATTTTCATTCACTCCTAAGTATAGGGAGGTACTTCCGTAACTATATGATGTGTGAAGGGGCTCTGGTAGCATAGTGGTTACGAATCAGGCTACGAACCTTAAGGTCAGCAGTTCGAAACTACCAGCTGTTCCACGGGAGAAAGATGAGGCTTTCTGCTCCAATAAAGATGTACAGCCTCGGAAACCCTGTACAGGGTCGCTATGAGTCAGAACCGACTCTACAGCACACCACCACCACCACCATACGATGTGTGATGTTGTCACACTGAATGTAAAAGCACATACAAGAATCCATCTGTCTTCCTTAAATCAGACAGTAATGACATTAGCAGTAGAAAATAATGCCACTTTTCTTACTAATTGTTTTCTGTGTTTTGTAAAACAGCTGCCCTCCCACCATGAAATGTAACCTCTGTTAATGTGAAATATGCTTATTGTTATTGAATGGATAAATATTTAAAAACTGTTTCAATTTCTAATTACTATTGATAGACATAACCACATCAATGAAAGGTCTTGAGACCAGCACATTTGAGAACTGCTGCTTGACAGCATCCATCCATTACAGGCAGCAGGCAAGGCCATACAGTGCCTTGCCAGCCTGAATGCATATTTCATTTCAAATCTGACTCAATAGGCCATTAACAAAAAAGCTTCTTAATTTACCATTTTCAGGCAAGGAAATTTATTCTGACAGTGAATTATCAAGGCCGGACCCGACTCGATGGCACTTAACAACAACAACAACAACAACTAGTTTTAAACCAGTCTAACGTGGTTTCCTTGGTGGCGTCAGGATGCAGTAACAATCCTTTAATGTACACACAGTTGACTTTGATTCATAAAATTTGAAAAGACACTTTATGTGATACAATTAAGAAATATGTGATAACACAGACATTAGATACCAAGTAAGTTTTGGCAAATGAATGACTATCCTCAAATGTCAACTAAAAACAAAACTCTTAATTTTCAAAAGAAAGCAAAATAAAAAGAGGATGGTCTGGTGTTCCTGGAGAAAAAAGGAACTTTAAAAAAATTACACTTTTAAATGTAGAAATGTGAACAGGTACAGTAAAAGTGATATTAAACTATACAATTTTATTATTATATTAAAATATATCTTAGGTACCACTGCCAAATTAATACTTGAGTGTATTTTGCCATTAGAGAACGAAAACTGAGACCACTTTGAGGTTAAGGCACAGGTGTGTTGAAAACAGTGCCTTCCTGTCTTTTAATTGTATCTGTTATAAATAAATTAGCTTTCAATGTTTGATTTTTAAATTTATTGCCATCATTTTCACTGGAGACAGCTAACATTTTAGTAAATCACTCCTAACTGGGAAGGTAATGAACACTGCTTTGGATGAATGGTGCTGTGAACATATTTGCTAATTTATACCACACTAAGACTCAAGATGATATAACTATCATAATACAAGAGGGCTTCAAAAATACATTATCTTTTAATTCTCTTCTTCCATGAACTTTCTGAAGCCCCCTGGTATATAGAAATAAGTATATTCTCTGAGCAGCCTTTTAGAAAAAGTGTACTGAATATAGATAGCTTCATGTCATATTTTACTTCACTTAGCTTGTACTTTTTGTTTTTTAAAATCTTCTCAGAGTTAAATAATACTTGAGCCAAAAGTCCAGTGAAGTTGACTATTTCTCTACTCCATTTTGCACATCCACTTACAACCATCATTACTGTGCAACATATCCAGTGAGTTTATAAAAAACTGATACTATGAAAGTCCTCTGAATGGCTCAGCTGTTTTTTGGAGTCTTTGAATGATGACAGCATTCTGTAAATCTGCTTCCTCCAGAGTAAGGTTTTCATCTAGCAATTTGAGGAAAGGAAGCGCGGTTCCAAGAGAAAAGGGAGGGCTTTGCTGAGATCCTTGGAATTTTTCAATGAAGTCTTTGATGTGGCTTACCCTGTAAAACAGCACAAACTATGAACATAATTTTATGAAAATGTGAATGAACTAATTCAAGACAATAACAGCTTATGTAGGTCTTTGGCTATGTTATTCATAGAATAATCACTTTTTGAACTGATCATCTGGACCACTTTAAAAGGTTGATTCTTAGATATCTGATGAGAGTTACAAACTACTACTAAGCTTTCTAGGTATGAAATGGTATTATGGTTATTATTTTTTTTAAGTGGCTACATTTTATAGACTTCTTTAACTCTTAGAGATGCATACTGAAATAGTTACAGAAGAAACTATAAGTAGTTTAGAATTTGCATAAAAATAATGGAAGTTCATTATACGTGTCTCTGCTTTTGTATATGTCTGGGATTTTCTAAAACTGAAAGTTTATTTATCTATATATGAAATAGTTTAAGTTAACAATCCTGCAGAAAAATGGGTTGAAACTCTTAAATGCCAGGTTATGTGGTACTTTGAATCCAACTAGGAAAACACTTAAATATAGTAATTTCTCAAGTCATTTCTTTATCTTTAATCTCAGTGCAGGTGGGATATTTTTGTTTTTATAACGAACATAGTGTTAGTCACTATAATGCAATAAAATCACTGTAATCTTGACGGTGCCTCAGAGCTATACTCACCTACGTACATATATATTCATAAATTGAGAGAGAGAGAGAGCGAGAGAAAGGGGCATGCATTTACAGCTCATCTAAACTTAAGGAGCCATGGACTCAAGAACAAGATAGCTAAGGTTTCTTAAAATTTTTAAAGCATAATTTATAGTCCAATATCCACAATCACCTTTGACTCAGCCACCAATATATTGGGCTTGCCACAACTGTTCCCTCAGTTGTGTTTGCATTGGTGATACAAAATTTCTTTAAAGAGTGCTTCCACTACCATCTCTGGGATGTTTCACATAGCTGGCGACTGTTCTGCAAGTTTTGAAACAGATACTAAGGCAACAACAATCATGTCATGACTGCCAGAGGGCCAACAGATTATTGGATACATTCTCATTCCAGTGACGCTAAAATGTGAAAAAACGTACAACTCAGAATGAGTTGTGGCATATCACTAAAGACAGAATTGTCTCATTCAATCAGTTCACTAAAACTCACTGTGTCTCTATTAAATCTGTGATGGTTACTAAAAAGGGTTACTAAAAATTTTACCCTAGAACATGTTATTGTTGTTAAGCGCTGGCAAGTTGGTTCCAATTCATAGTAACCTTGTACAGCATTCCTGAAGCTACAAGCCTTGTAGGAGCAAAAAGCTTCATCTTTTTCCTGTGGAGCCTATCTTGTGGCTCACAGTCCTATGATTATCCTATAGAGCCATCATGCTCCCTTAGAAGATGCTCCTGTGTGTTCTGAGTATTAAAAATTGGATAATCAAAGGCTGAAGTTTATAATAATGAAATTTTTAGCTCACACAAAGAAACAAGAGAGAAGGGCTCAATCACATGACCAAGATGAAGAGCCAGAAAATTTTTCTGAGGAAGAAAAGGTAATGGAACTAACTGAAAGAGATTCAAAAGGATGATATTAGGTACCGTCAAAGGACTGATAAGAAACATTGAGAGGGAAAGAAGAACACAGAAAAAACTTAAGAATAATTCAGGAGAACACAACAAGAACAAACAGACAAAATAAATGCAAAATTTTAAATAACACAAAACCTGCAATTGGGAATCCAAAAGATTACTACTAATATTTCAGAAATAGACAATACATTTAAATAGCAAATTCAAAGCAATGGAAGTTCAAATTAGTGAATTTGAAGACAAACCTCTTAATACCAGTATACCAAAAGAATAATCAGAAAAAAAAAAAAAAAGAAAAAATCTGAAGACAGCCTAAGAGTTATGTGGGACACCATGAAGCAGAACAATTTACAGGTGACTGGCACTCCAGAACAGGAAGAAGCAATACAAAACACAGAGAAAATTGTTGAAGAGCTTTTGGAAGAAGACTTCCCTAATGTCACGAAAGACGAGAAGGTAAGCATACAAGAAGCTGAATGAACCCCAAACAGGATAGATCCCAAAAGAAAATAACTAAAACATTATAATCAAACTTTTTAAACCAAAGACAAGGAAAGACTCCTGAGAGCAGCTCGAGAAATACAAAAGTTGCCTATAAAGGAGAACCAATAAGACTAAGCTCTCATTTCTAAGCAGAAACCATGGAGACAAACAGGCAACAGAATGACACATATAAAACTCTGAAAGAAAAAAACTGCCAACCAAGAGTCATATACCCAGCAAAGCTGTCCTTCAAATATGATAGTGAAATTAAGGAATTTCCTGATAAACAGAAATTAAAGGATTTTGTAATGATCAGACAAACTTTACTAATAATTCCAAAAGGTATTCTTTGGCCTGAGAAATGACGGTAGCAGACAAGAACTTGAGATTAACATACATGACAATACCACCCAAAACTCAATACAGATATATAAGTATTTAAAGTAAAACAAACTACAAGACTAAAAATAGGGAACCAGAGATATCAATTTATAATGAAGTCAAACACAAAGCAGAAATTCCAAATGGCAAGGAAATGAAATAGATTTCATGATAAAGCATGAAAAAAATTAACCAACTACAGGATAACCTCAAAGAAAATTAATATATCTGTACATCAAAGTAAAAAGAGGGATACAAGAAAAAATTAGTTAACAATAACACAACAAATGAAAATGAAAACTCACAAACAAAATGAGCTCAGCCCAAAAAATGGAACAAAGAAACCCCAGCACCATACACCAAAATGACAGCAATCAATTTATACCTATCGATAATTACACTGAATATAAAAGGAACAAATGTATCAGTCAAGAGACAGAGAGAGCAGAATGGAAAACAATATCATTCAATATGCAGTCTACAAGAGACACATCAAAATGATGAAGGCAGCCTACATGCCCATCAACAGAAGAATGGTTAAACAAACCTTTGTACGTACACACAGTGGAATGTTACACAACCAGGAATAATAATCATGACTCTGCCAAACACTTTACAACATGGATGAACCTGGGGGACATTATGCTGAGTGAAATTAGGCAATCACAAACATACAAGTATTATATGAGACCAATGCTGTAAAAAGTTAAAAATGTTTTCTTGATAAAAGAAACAATCTACGATGGTTCAGGGGTAGGGCAGTAGAGAAAATTACTCATGGGGTAGAGGATAGACACGTGCTACCATGGGTGACAAGGCAGGCAATATACAAGAGGGAGGTTAGCAGAGGAAAGATGAAAGTAGCAGGAGACACAGGGAGGAATGCAATAGTTAAAGTTAACAGAGGTAAATACTGTTAACTGTTGGTACATGGAGGGGTTGTAATCATTGTAATGAAGCAACGTATATGATTTGATGAATGTAAGACTGATGATCTGCTTTGTAGACCTTCATTCAATTCACAATAAAAAGGTTTAAAAACAAAAAAAGGACAACTATACACATGGACCTCACCAGATGGGATACACAGATACCATATTGACCACATTTGTGGAAAGAGACAGTGGGAAAATTCCATATTATCAGCCAAAACAAGGTCTGGGGCAGACTGGAAAAGAACATCAATTGCTCATATACAAGTTCAGCCTGAAGCTGAAGAAAATTAAAACAAGTTCATGAGACCTACCCTGAACATATCCCACCTGAGTTTAGAGATCATCTGAAGACTTGATGCCTTTTACAACTTAACTGTGACATAAAGATTAACTTGAACAGGTGAGATAACGTACAAGAAAAGGAAGAAAGTCAAGGATAATTTCTTATACTTCTTGTAACAAAAGTGAGAAAAGAGGGGAAAAAAAGGTTATGAGATAGAGTATAAACAACAACAAAAAAATACACAAAAGAATTAGTCTTTCATTTCAGAAACAAAGGATCCCAGTACCATCAAAAAAGAAGAGGATGAGTGAAGCGAGAGAGCCTACCTAGAAAAGCAGCAACAGCAGAGACGTGGGAGGTGATGGCATGGAGATGGAACAGCTGCGGCCTCTAGGCCCAAGAACTGAGAAAGGCTATGCGCCTGCCGTCAGGAGGCTGTCTTGCAGAATATGCCTTAGGGCATTTAAGCAAATATATATTTTCAGTTTTGTATGTGTACATCAAATATTTTTTGCTTTGTTCATTTGTGAAATATAAGATGTAAAAGGGAAGCCATAGGGAGGAAGTAGGATAACTGTTGCTGCAGAGAGGGGATTATAATCATTGAGATGAAACAAAGAGTATAATTTGTTGAATGTAAAGTTGATGATCTTGTCTGTTAACTGTCACTCAATTCACAATTGTTGTTGTTATAGTCTGTGGAGTCAGTTCCAACTCATAGTAACCCTGTACAGGGTTTCCGAGGCTGTAAATCTTTATGGGAGCAGAACGCTTCATCTTTCGTCCGCGGAACAGCTGGCAGTTTTGAACTGTGGACCCTGAGGTTCATAGCTCGATTCGTAACCACTACGCTACCAGAGCTCCTTCTCAATTCACAATAAACAGTAAATTTTTTTTTTTTTTTGCAAATCTCTTTATAATTTAAAAAACAAGAAAAAAATCTCAGTAGACAAGACTAGAAAAAGAAATAAAATTATGAAAGTGTAGTGTGAAAGAAGTATACACCATCTAAAACAGTGCATTGTTCTCAAATGTCATTTTAAAATGGCAACTAATTAGTAAAGGTTAAATGTAATAATATATATTAAAAATCTTAGCATAGAGAAGGTACTCAATAACTGGAAGCTATTATTATTATTTTTAAACTGTTCACTTTTGCACTGTTTGGTGCATGTTTATAATTAGGTGCTAATTTAAAGGTTGCTGGTTTCAAACGACCCAATGGCTTCACATCCACCACTTGTCTGTCAGTTTGTCCTACTGTGGTGGCTTGTGAGTTGCTGTGATTCTGAAAGCTATGCCACCAGTATTTTAAATACCAGCAGGGTCACCGATGGTGGACACGTTTCAGATGAGCTTCCAGACAAAGA